GAAAAGGCTCTCGAATCGGCAAGATGTGCGACTGTCCGGGCGGGGCTTTCTGCAACTTTTTCTTGTTAAAGTGTTTGTGATGGAAACACACAATTCTGAATGGATTGTAATGAGATTGAATCCATATGCATTATATATCATAAATAACTGCAATTTTATTTGTATTAATATTTTATTTAAGTGAAGAAACTGAAAACACTGAAGCAAAGTTGTAAAGAAATTGTTCTTCAAATATTTTCTTCATGTAAACATGTGATACTGTCATACTTAATGTTAATCTGCTGTTTTGTGCATTAAAGTGCAATATAACTTGTTTTGTAAAGTTGTCTGTGTATCAGTTACTTTTATATTTGCATAATAAGAATAGTATAGTTATGTTTTTGATAAAAATACAACTTTTTTGCTACAACACTTTAAAATGTAAAACTACTGATTAAGGATGATTCAAATAATTGGGAAAATTTCCATGAAAGTAAAGCTAAAAGATAAATAAATAAATAAAATAAACTCACAGCCTATCACTGAATGTGATCCACACACTCTGTAGAGTTAGTTGAATCATGAAATTTAGCATTTTTAAAATACTGAACAGCTGTGTTTTAGCTGGATAAAAAAAATGTCCAGAATAATGTCATAGCTGAATTTGCCTGCAGAACATTAATAACATTTTAATGAAGTTTCTATGTTCATATTCTGTAAAATGAAAAAAAAAAAAAGTTAAACAGTAGACCATCCCTCATTAGTCACTGTCAGCCACCTAAATAAACTGGCCAATAACTGTGAATTGCAATGTGCAAAAATCAATTTTTCAACTTTTCTACAATATTTATTATTATATTATTTATATATTATATCATATTAATATTCATTGATATATCATATTTAGCATTATTAAATTACACAAAAAGCGGCACGTCCACTGTAGAAACATAACATTTTGTGGTAAGAAAAAATGTTGGATATCTTTTAAACACTGCACCAGGATAAGCATCATACTGTCATTCAATCTGTAGAGCCCTTAAAATACTTATCTATCCTTTGCCTGTACGGGCTGTATCGATCTCTTCTTTCTTCTTCTTTTTTTTTGGAATCAATTACTTGCCACTTGTTCCAAACCAAGGCTAAACAAGGTTCTGACAAGTGGCATATGTTGAGACGTCACTTTGTTACTTCGCTTTTGCGTAGTTGGCTCTGTAAGCGAGCTCTTAACCATAAGAGTCAGAATCAGATTGTTATGATCAGAGCCTTCAAAGTGAATCCACAATGTAGTTTGAAGCAAATAGGGGAACAGAAGTCTTGTTAAAAAAAGAAAAAATGCTCAACTTCTGAATTCGATATTCCCTCTGACTGGTCAAATGGTGCCAAAATTGCCTCTCGAACAGATAATACGTCAGTGATGACAATTAGCATAACATGAATTGATGGCTTCACAGAAAGTAGCTGTAAATCTATCTTTGAAGCGTCTTGCTTTGGTTCAGCCGCCAGGAACCATTTCAGACAGACAATCTGGTGTTGATAGTTATTTGTTAAGATGCGCTATGCCCAACACTGGCTACATCCGTCCTCACCTTCTTTAAGGTGATTATGTGTGCCTTTAGACTTATTGCTCGGCTTTGTCACTGATGCCACATATGTATGCTGCCCCCCAAACCTCTTTTGCAGATCAATATTTCATCATTTTTGGACGAAAAAGAATGTGATGTTGCCCCCTAGAGACATAAAAGAAAAGCAGAGCCAGGCTTTATGTGGCTGTGAAAAGCTGAATTATTTGTACCATGAATGGATTTCTGTTGCTGTCATTGTGGAGGATTGAAAATGGTCATAGCTGTAATCACTTGGTGATTGTGAGGTTGATTGAACGGCCACTTAATCAGGACAGTAACTGGTAGGAGATGATGTCTCTTGCATTAAACTGACATTGGCAGAGCTCAATTATTTTCTAAGTACTAATAAGGTTCTGCTTCAGAAAGAACAAATTTGATCTGAGATTAAATACGGGTTGATAGCTCTGAGAAAGTTTACTAAAACCTAACATAAATGTTTAAATATAAGTAAAATATATTCAAATATATATTTAAAATTATTTTTAAATCATATTTAAAAATAAATTAGGATATATAATTTAAAATACATTTGAAATTATTAATTTGACATTTAATTTAGAATATAATAAATATAATATAAAATAATAATAATAACAAATATATATAATAAATAATAATTACAATTATTTAAAGGTGACATATCATGAAAATCTGACTTTTCCAGGTTTTAAGTGCTATAATCAGGTCCCTGGTGCATCTACCAACCAAGGAAACGTGAAAAAGATTAACCCAGTCACTTTGTTTTACTTCACAGACACATTCTGGGGACACCAGAGACTTATATTACATATAGTAAAAAGGGGCATAATATGTCACCTTTAAATGTTTAATTAAAAAATAAAGTCGAAAATACAAAATAAAATAAATTTAAAAATATTATTTTTTAAATTAACATTTTTATTTACAATAAAATAAAATAGGATTCAGCAACATGTGCTACTGTGTTTTGGGTGACACATTATTACCCATATTTTTGAGTTCTTAGCAGCTTTTGTACTTTTCCATTTCAATTATGTTGAGATTCAGCTTTGGACCTCAAGCATAACCTTCAGACTTTGCTCATTTCTTTCTGCTTGCATTCTGTGTGAGTCTTTCTAGTGACTATCTAATATAGCTTTAACAATTTGGAACTTGATGAATATATGTACAATATATCAATAAATATGATAAAAAGTAAAAAATAAAAAAGTATTATTTAAATAAAAAATATTAAGTTATTATTAAAAACTTAAAAAATTACATGAAAGAGATATCAATAATATATTAAAATTTATTATGCAAATAATTTAATTTTTATATTTAATATTTCACTGACATTGAGATTCGAGTTCTGACCTGAAGCACAACCTTCAGATGACGTACTTTTCTAATTTCCTTCTGCTTGCATTGGGTGAGCCTTTCTATTCACTATCCAATATGGCAGCTTGCAGCTAAAGAAATCAGAAATTAATATAAATTATATCTAAAATATTAGAATAAATATTATAAAAAGTGAAATAAAATAATTTATTATAAATATATTAAATAAATATGTTCCAATTATAATTCATTTTTATATTTAACATAAAGTAATACATTTTAACTTAATAATTAGATGAAAATGTATAAATAAATATTAAATACAATTATTATTAAAATTTTACTGATGTTGAGATTCAAGTTTTGACCTCAAACACAACCTTCAGATGATTAACCTTGCTTTTTGCTTGCATTCTGGGTGAGCCTTTCTCATGACTATCTAATATGGCAGCTTGCAGCTAAAAATACCAGCATCCCCTGATGGATCAGAGAGTAGGACTGCAATGTCATCCTACCTGCCGTCTGGATTTGTGAGGTATTTGCTCTACAGTTTATGTGAAAAACTGCCAGATCCATTTCAGCTCCTCAGCTCAGCATTTAAGTTAGGGCAATTACTGGCCAAACAGCAAAATTTTGGACTTGTCAGTCAAAGTGTCTGTACTTTAAATCCCAAAAGTGCTGAGGATCTGAGGAATCAGACAACAATTAGAGAGTCTTTGAGGTTGCAATATTGTTCAGAAACTGCTTTGTCCAAAGCGTTTATACCTGATATCTGATATGTTGTGTTTAGCAGTCTGCCAGTTCATTTGCAAATGCCCTGTGAATGACAAACAAAAATTACTGCTACAAATGACCCTATTGTTATTTGAGATTATTTGCACGTGTCTATAATGTCCAGCAGAGGGCAGTATGAGCTCATTTCTATTAGACTGCTAACAGACTGCTGACTCACTGCAAAATTCAGCCCATGGCCAGACAGGTGCTTCTGCATGTTAACTGGCCTTCAGAGGGAAAGCCCAAGCTCTCATTTATTTTACTGATCTAGGCAGATTTAAGGATGTATGAAAAATACAGTTTAAAAAAAAAAAGTTTTTGTAATTTAATGCCGTGCAGATAGCAAAGGATTATTAGATTGGATGCAGTCAGTCTATTAGTGTTATTTCACACATTTTATACTAATTTTACACAAAAATAAATAAATAAAAATAATAACAAAATAAAATAGAAAATAATAAAATGTCAGAGTGCAACAAAATATGAGCAGCCAGCAAACCATTATCTTTGCATTTATATTTATATGTTATTTATAAAATATTCATACAAATATTTTGATTGCTTAGGAGTGCTTATGTATTGACATCTAACTTGCATTTCATTTAACTTGTATGTTAACTTGTATATTTATTTTTTGCGGTGTACATCTTTAAGCTTTTAGCATTATCTGATTATTTAGCATATTTTTCATATTAACAGTTAACATATTATTACATTATTCTACTATACTGAAAAAAAAAATGGTGTCGAAAAAAATCACTCAGACATTGCTAGTAAATTCACAGAGAGATGGCATGTAACACGGAATGAAATGTTAAATTTTGAAGTAGAAAGACTGAAATAGTATTTACTTGTAAAACACACTCCAATAATCTTTACAAAAATATTTTTTTACAGTGCATTATAAAAAATATTCTACATCTATCTGTCTGTCTGTCTGTCTGTCTGTCTATCTATCCAATCATTAAACACACACACACACACATCAATTTATATAAAACCACTGCCTATTGTAATGAACAGGAATAACAATTAAACATGATTAAATAACTATTAATTATCATAAATTATTTATTTACAGCATATGAATATTCACGTGGCTATCCTTTACTGCACATTATGAGGCACTGTTCAAACCATAGCCCATTACATTTGAGTTAATGATGTTGCATTGTATTTGCATCGCAACGCTATTTTTTTTAGGCGTCTAGCATGACATCACACAGCTGCATGGTCTTTTAGCCAATCACACGCAGGTAAACAGCGCCGTGTTTCGCATAGTTTCAGCAGCCCTCCCTGTCTTAACTTTGCAGACAGGGCAGGTGGCAGCAGTTGTCATGGAGATAACTGCAGGCCCGGCGTCGGTGCGAGGGGTTGTTTCCATGGAGATCCCGCCCCGAGGTGCGCTGGCAGCGGTAGAGGAGGACGAGGAGAACGAGCAGTCGGGCTCCGAGGAGCGGCTGCAGCATCCCGGCCAGCTCCGCCGCCGCGGCCCGACCTCCCGCCAGGGAAACTTTTACATGCTCATCGTGATCGGAGAGATCGCGACAGAGCACCAGCTGCACACCGCCAGACAGCACATAGAGCGCGGTGAGCCTCTTATTGAAAGCATGCCTCATCTGACACATTAGATATGGCTTATGATCCTCTTTAAAAACATTTATTTCATCAAATTATTTTGTTGAATGAATATGTAGCCAACTCACAGTGGATTATGACAGATACCAAATTTACTCTCATACCTATTTAAATGTATTAAGTTATTATGGTATTATATGTTATTGTAAAAAAAAAATCACGGAAATGGCTTGAATACTTCATCTTAACTTAATTCACCGCAAGTTGACACCTATATAAGCTGCATACTGTACTGCGGTGGGTGAGTTTATGTAATTATAGACGTACTTCAGTCCAAACGACGTCACAAATGTCAATTTCCAAAAGGTTCTCAAAGATATCATTTGCTTAATGGACATAATTAAGTAACTTCTACACATCGCCTGTCATGTGTACTTCTTTGGAGCGTTATATGATCCGATGAGACATTGCATACTAGTTCCAGCAGCAGCAGCAGCAGCACACTGCGGCGACCTCGCGTGACTGTACAGAGCACTGCGCCATGAATTGTGCATTTTTAGATGAAATTGATGAAGCTGCAGTTTTGATGGTCTGTAAGGACGGGGATCTCGTGATATTGCTGCTATTCAAAATGTTTTTATTTACCACTATGTTTTTGGGCAGGTGTTTAAACTTACTATAGGCCGGTGGTTAATTATGGCAGTAGGAGTGTCTCGGTGTTTATTTTTTCAAGCATAAAATAGTCAAGGAAAAGGTGCATACAATCTCAGAAAAAAGGTACAAAGCTGTCACTGGAACCCTAAGGTACAAAAGCTAAAAGGTGCATCTTTGTATCTTATTTAACCATAAATGGTACATATTAGCACTTTAAAGGTTCATATTAATACTTTAAAATGACATGTTAGTACCTAAAGTATGTATAATAAACAGTTAAAAAACTTTAGCCCTTAACTTGTGTCACAAAATGTGTTAAATATGTCTTAAAATAAAAGGATATACAATTTTTATAGACGTAAACAATTGAAGCACAGTAATTTGCTTGCAGAATTGTTAATTTAAATGATTTTATCCTTTTAGCTTGTCATAATAATTTCCATAATTTCTAATTGATTTCATGATAACGCCATTTTATTAATCTGTAATTAAATTAAAAATAGCCGAAAAAGTACAATGAACTTATCACTTGAACTTTAACATTTAAATTTTTGTGGAATGATTTTTTTTTCTACAGTGCACAAATCATCAATTAGTTTACAGAAAAGTACATTGAATTACAGTGTTGATAGTGTTTTCATATGGCAGAATAGAATCTAGTACTGGTTACTTTTTATCGTAACTTCTTTGCTTTAGTACTTTAAAATATGTTTTATTGTTTATCTACCAACTCATAAAAAGTTGGTTTGCTGAATAGACATCTTCTTTTCATAACTACTTCTGACATTTCTTCTAATGATCATGAAACTTGACTTTTGAGTGTAAAACATTTTTGTTTACAGCATTGACACAGTTTTGACATTAATCGCTTCAAAAGTCCATAAGCGACAGTATATAAAGTAACAAATCAGAGCTGCCAACTGCACAAACCTGAGAATCAACCAAATTAGAACATAATATTCAGGGTCAACAATGGTACACTTGTTATGCTACTCACATTCAGTACATTTACAATCCTGACATGCTCACTCTGCAGCATTCTCTAATGCTTGGACGTCTAGAAACCCCAGGATTATCCCATTCCTCCTGACAGACTTTTAATCAGCAATTAGCATATCGATGAGAATGAAATCAATACTGTAAGGAATGTCTTGTGTTTCTATAGGCTGCGGAAATCTTATTTTGAGAAAATAGAAGTATCGGTTCACAGCATTTCTGAGGACAAACACTGCAGTGTTTGCAAGATTTACACTTCATCTACAAAGCAAAACAGAATCTGAGGAAAATAGCCCTTCATCTGTATGAAGAAGAGAAGAGGAAGGACACAGCCGAGGAGAGTTAAGAGGCATAGAGATTTAGTTTCATTACCTTATTCTACAATTTGGAGTTTGAAGTTCAACGCAGTAGGAGCTTAAGACACATCTAAAATTTGGGGATCTTATGTAACACTCAATGAATGAATATTCTGAGCACATCACACTAAATCTCATATTTAGAACTGTATGGCAGATGTCTGAGAGCATGCTGAAAAACTGGGGCTGAAAAATCACAACCTAAATATAAACAAAAAGTTTCTTGAAATTAGTGAACTTAATTATTAATTAATTAATTGATATAAATATTTGAATGATTATTGTCACAAGTACAATATTAAAATATCAATATCATAAATATTAATAAAAATATTAATATTAATAAAAATGTACATTGAATACATTTTTCAACTGAACTTTTTACTCAAATTGTAATATCACATCATAATAAGTAATACAAAATATTAAGTAATATAATAATTTGTAATAAAATGGTGTATATACATTGATATAGGCTATATATATATATATATATATATCACATATAAATACTAAGTAATTATAAAAATAATAATAAAAAGTAATATAATCATTTGGAATTAATTAAATGGTGTGATATACTCTAATATATACATATAAAAAGAAATTTGTTAATTTTTCAACTCAACTTTTCACACATTGTTATAATATATAATATAATCATTTATAATGAAAAAAGGTATTATATACGCAAAAAGTGGAATATGGGTAAAGCTCATTATGTGAAATGAGGGTGTGAATGAACATTGCGTACACATGTAATTTCAGGTACTTTGCTCATATTGATCATGCCACATGTCTCTCTGTACCTGCAGGTATCCGTTCCTGGGACATCAATGTGTCAGAATGTGACCTGGACCACCAACTACAGCTTTTCATAACCAGACATTCCGCCCAGTTCTCAGCCGAGGTCAGAGGTCAGTCCGATTGAAAGGATGACATCTAGATCCTGCAGTAGAATTGAATGCAAATGAAGTCAGAAGTTTATATGAAAATCTACTGTATAAAAAATGATATGCTCAAGCTAAATGAACAATTGCAAGGATAAGTTTCCACTTATTTCCCAGCATGCCACACATAAATAAATATTTTCAGTTGGAGTCAAGCTGTTCATACACATATTGCCAGCCCAAGGTCACACTGCAGTGATCTTGCTTACAGCAACATGCACGATATGCAGCTAATGCAGCACTGAGAATCTCTCCACGGGGAGTCCAGCATGTGTGTTTGCACGGGTCCTGTTTCCACTGTACTGCCTGGCACAGTGGTAATCAAAGAGCTGTGTCAGGAGGAGAGGAGCTGCAGAGCCAGTGCTTGACTGCTGCAGTGTGTGTGTTGGGCGGGACGGACCTTGATCTCTGTAGTGGGTTAAGCTGAGGCAGAATCATAAAGGCTCAAATGTGGCTCGGTGTAAGACAGGCTATTTTATAAAAGTGATAAGCTGTTTTTGCAAAGACTAGCATGCTATTCATTTCCTAACTGCTGAGAAAGAGCCTTACTATCCATTTTAAACCTTAAGCTGCTGTCAGAGGAGGTGAGTGATACAGTAGCTGGAGACAAATTTCATGTAAATGGCAATGTAATTTAGCACAGAGTGCTTTTGTTCTGAATATATATAGGCACGAGACTTGCATGTAATCACAGATTATGTTCAAACCAACATTGACTGCGAATGTCATAATGCTTTCATATCACAGTAGAGCACTGCAAAGATGGTGTATTTCTGTAAGCCAAAACCCTTCAAATGATCAAATGATTGGCTGTTAACAAGTGGCTAAATGGGACAACATTGGTTGTTGGGAACATTAAACGTAAATACACCAAACAAAAAACCTTGTCTACTCACTAGTTTGCTTTGTGTTTTTAATTGCGCTCTCGCAAACTATTCTAACTCAAACCTTTCAGGGAAAATGTTTTTTTAAATAGAGACTGAAGGAGTTGTCGGAAGCTTCATGGTGGTGACGTTGAAGTCATGTGACTGTGATGTAGTTCATTTATAGCCTACATTTAGCTTTTTACTTCTGTCAAATGTATTTTGGCTTCAGAATTTATAAAAGCTGTGTTCATTTGTGGAGATTATCACAATGAAAAAACGTGTAAGAATGATAACATTTTGGTCACAGAGCTTATTTTCTGCAATAATCCAAAAGCCAATGGAAAAACCCTACTGAGTTGTTGCCAAGGGAACCAGGGGGATGCTAAAGTCCAGGTTGGCCTACAAACCTGGAGTTCATATTATTGCAAGCCCGGCAGAAATCCAAAAACCCAAGCAAGTCCAAAAGCTTAGGACGTGATGTGTGCTTAGATCAGATTGTGATGACTGGTCTGTGGGGTGATACAAGGTTAACAACCACTAAAGGCTGATGTCTTAGATTGTGCTTTTCTGTGGCTCAAGGCCTGTCAGACACAAGGCTCCCAGGCTGATGGTGCAAATGGGACCACAGTATTGATTCGACCGTATCATATTCAGCATGCACCTTAGCATAGATCAATAACATTCAATCTAAGGGGAATTCAGTGGCTGTCCTAGGGCACAAATAGATGTGTTTCTATAGTAATTGGGAACAAAATGATAGATTAAGTATTGGCTAATATAATTGCTTTGTCTAGGACTGATGGATGTTTTGTTAATTTTTTCAGCCGTATAAGCACTTGAAGTTGAATTCTTTTTTATTATTAAGGATATACTGTTTTTTTTTAAAATTGTGTTCTCAGTCCTTCCCTTTTAAATCTCCTTTATAAATATAAAATGATGAGCTGCTGCCATCTAATGGATATTATGAGTAATGCAGAACAATGTCAAAAGAGATTAAAAAAACAGAGAAAGAGACAGAAATCTATCTATCTGTCTGTCTGTTTGTCCGTCCGTTATATCCTCACAGCCCTTGGGTGTGATCAGTAGTTTGAAGCCCTTTGAGAACTGAGAGCTGCTCTTGCTGTTAATGAACTGCAGATGGCTAAAAGATACAGCTGTGTCATTCCTATTATGCAGCTCATTTTCATGTCCCGTTACATATGTCAGAATATATTGGATAAAATATTAAACTCACTTATTTTAAAGATGGAAATCATGGAATAATAATTATTATATTCACCACCATTCAAAAGTATGAAAGTATGGGGTCAATACGATTTTTTAAAAAGGAAATTTAAATGATTTTATTCACATTAAATTGATAAAAAGTGACAAAAACATTTATAATGTATAAAGTTTTTTTTCCAAATGAATGCTCAAATAATTTCAAATAAATTATTTTAAACCTTCTATACATAAAACAATCCTGAAAAAAATGTATCATGTTTTTCCACAAGAATATTAAGCAGCAACTGAAAATTCAGTTTTATAAATTATTTCTATTACACTGAAAAAAATTATTTTAAAATATATTAAAATTATATATAAAAATATTGCTAAAATTTTTAATACTTCACAATTTTACAGTTTTCACTGTATTTTTTTTTAAATCAAATAAATGCATCTTTGGTGAGCATAAGAGGCTTATTTCAAAAACATATCTTACTGGCCGCAAAATTTTGCACTGTAGTGTATATTTAATTTATCATAATATCACAGTTAAGTGCACATAAGAGTACATTTGAAATAATTTCATTCACTCTGGTTTTCATTCATGTTGCCATTTTATTATGTACGAACTTCTAACATGAAAAACTGGCAATTTATTAAGACATGTTCAAGGTTTTAACTAACAAAATGTTAGTTACCTAATGACATAATCAACAAAGAAATGTTGATTAAAGAACAACAGCACAAACATCTGCAATATTTTTGTGTTTATCTTAATTAAAAGCATTTTAGCCTGTTTGATTAAATTACAAATTACAAATCGTATGATAATTTCAGAAGTAAAGACAATGGTTGGCTAACTTTATATATATATTCTGAGCTTGACCAGAGCATATTTTTAAAGCCTATTGTGCCTGTTAACAGAAATACTTCACTTACAACACAAGCATATTCATATTTTTAAAATTACAGAGTTCAAAATGTGCTGTGTAACAGTACTGATTCCCTCCAGTGTCTGACAGAAACAAAGAAATGAGGCATTAACAATCTCCCAGATTAAATCAAATCAAAAACATCAAGCGTCTCACAGCAGGAATGACCTTGATCAGTCAGTACTTCAGAGTCTTGAGGTTTAGCAGCGGCTGGTGGCGAGGTTCAGGGCAAGGAAACGGCATGATCAGTGTTTTCATTCTTACTGAGTCACTCATCCTCCTCCTTTCGTCTTCTACTATGTTTCCATGGTGACCTGCATCTTGGCATTAGTCAAGGTGAGCGTCGATGTGAGGGGCTAATAAGTGTGCTTTGTGAGGAGAGAAGTACTATGTGCATATTATATCGATAATAATATGAAATCAACAACTGTTGTTACCCAATTAATATATGAATTTATGATATCTTAATGTATTTTAAGAAATGCCATGGGCAGGAATAGCGGCCTGCAGTAAAATAAATAGTTTTTGCTTTGGTAATATCAGATACTGGCATAATTGGCTTTTTATTAAACTGTGACCACCACTGCATTAGCTGCTTACAGGCTTCATCTCCTCAAATATCCTATTAGAGATACTGAATGAGACGTTTCGACCACTGTCATGCTCTGTGAGTCAGCGTTTGGGAAGACTGATTGTCTGCAGGCGGGAAAGTAATGGTCTGGAGAAGAATTTTCTTATATTTCCAGTCCCGTCTGAGTCACAAGTTCCCCTCAGACTCACTCACAAAGTCTATAATACCTAGAGAAGACTGTCCATTAGCATTCCCATGCATTACAAAGGCAGTTGTTGTCTTGCGTAGGACCGTAAGTGAAGTACGTGAAGTAACCAGCCAAACCTTGATCTCTTGACCTTGTCTATCACTTTGTGTCCTGGCTAACAGCACCTAGCTAGCGCTAACTAGACACTGACCCAGACATTCCCTCTCATGGAGTCTGACTATTATCAGTGATTTTTTTGCTAGTTTGTGTCTCCCACAAGACGGAGACCCTCAAAGCAATTCTTTACAATCCCAAACACATTTTAAGAGTGTTATTTTGCTTACGTTGCTAATGTAAATTTAGCACGCATAGACAAAATCTTTGCTTTAAAAGTTTAAAAGGAGAAAAAGTGAGTCATTTTCTTTAATAGTCACTGGGAGTGCAACAAGGGTCCTCCATGTACAAGTTTATGCCAGCCATTTGACTCTTTCCTTTTTCTCTCAGGATACACACAAAGGAAATTGGTACTCTAGAGCTGAAGGCTCAAGCAGGACCTATTTATAATGCAAGCACTGAGCCATAATTATGAATTTCACTGATGCTGAAGGGAAAGTGAACAATCACATGATTAAGGCCCAAAGCCAAAACTTCATACCTCTGAAAATGTTAAAAGCTCTTTTAAAGTAGGCTTATGTGTGTGTATATTTCTGTTCAAAAGTTTAGGGTCAGTAAGGTTTTTTTTCAATTCAGAAATTAATACTTTTTAAAGAAATTCATGTTTTTTCAGTGACAGTAAAGATGTTTATAATGTTTATAAAAGATTTATGTTTCAAACTGAATACAACAGTTTTCAACATTGATAATAATAAGAAATGTTTTTTTGAGCAGCAAATCGGCATATTAGAGTGATGTCTAGAGTGGACCATGTGACACCAAAGACTGAAAATTCAGCTTTTCAATTATGGGAATAAATTACAATTTGAAATACTTTCAAATGGAATCCAGTTGTTTCAAATTGTAACAATATTTCAAAATATTACTGTTACTGTATTTTGATCAAATAAATGCAGCATTGATGAGCATATAATGCTTCATAATATATTATTCATTCATTAATTCATATAAATCCTTCATTATATATATATATTTAAAAAAAAAAAATTTTTTAATTTTTTTTTTTTAAATATGAAATCCAGACTTCA